AAACATAAACTATTGGAAGTCCAGCAGAGCTTCACTCAGAAAAGACTAAATGAATGTACTGTGGGATGCAATACATTAAATTAAATATATATTTGCATTAAAAGGAATCTAATTAGCGAGAGATCTTTGTCTCTTTGAAATCTTCCATCCTTCATGGATTTTGACAGAATAATAAATTCTTCATCTTGATATGATGACATTTCTCTACAGGTGGACTGGATCGGTTTTATTGTCCAGAAAAAGTCAAAAATTCAAACTGTGGTTGATTTTACATGAATGAGAAGTGAAGAGCAGTAAGTCAGAGCTTCATGTCACCAGATTATCCCCACCCTGAGGTTCGTCATAATCTGTTCATACAGATTATATAAAAACATGACGATCAGCCCATCGGCTCCAACGTTCAACCACATCCTGGTTTCTCTACGAGTCGGGTGTCAAACATTGTGACGTCACGAGTCGTGATTCATCGCCTGCATGACCTCACGTCTTGACCAGTGGCTCGCCAGCGCCTCAAACTGGGACATAGTCTGGGAGTTCAGGGAACATTTTAGGATTAAAGGCGGCGTGTGAAAAGTTGGAGCTGCGTGGAAGGTAAATGTTTCCTAAATTTTTGAAAATGACCTCAAAGGATTGTTTTAACGTCCTTATTGTCTTGGTAAGATGATTTTTACCGTATTAGCTCCGGTCGCCGCCGCTGCAGGACTTCATGCATATCTTTATTTCAGGAACTGGAGCAGAATGATTTCCTTCCTACAGACGGGTTAGATGTTAACGTTTCCCCAGAAAACATACATGTTCATTGAAACTCTGAGCTAAAATAACATATTTCTATAATTATTTAATATTTAGTTAGTATTTTTCAACTAAATATGATGAGAAATGTTGGGTTTGTGATTTGTTGACAGACGTTTCTTTGACTGTCACGTTGCATATCTAAAAGACAGATTTTATTTCCAATGTTTCAGAAATTTGGAAATAGTTTTATTATTATTGTGGCATCGTGAGGTCGGAGATGATGCGAACAGAATCTCCACCGTGTTTAAGAAGTTTTTATTCTGATTTCTGGTCCAATGGAGGAAAATCAGACGCCCGGAAGCAGAAAAGGCTCCAAGCTAACGGAGAACAATGAAAGCTGCTGGTTTTTAATCGGGTCAACTGATCGGACCTGACAGGTTTCAGCCTGGTTGTAGGTCATGGAGCCGCATGGAGGAATCCTGCTTCAGACCCAGATCCAGAAAAACCATCATCATCATCATCCTCCTTAAGCTCGTCGCCGTTTCGTCGCGTTCTGGGGCCTCTGAAGAAAAAGAAAAAAAAGAGTAAATTTCCTCCAAAAATCCCAGAAATATTTAGATTAATTTCACAAATATTCAAGAAAAACATAATAAATTATCTGATCTTAAAAACAGCTCAATTTTGGGATTAATTTCACATATTTTCCAGAAAAATTTGGAAATCGATCAGTTTGTAATTTATGAGAAAAAATTTAAAATTTCCACAAAGGAACACATTTTCAATATTCAACCTGAGAAATTTCCTCCCTTTGACATAATGACAATAAGTTTTCAAGATAAAAACAAACTTAAATCTGCTGAGATTTAAAATCAGATGTTTCTAACAAAAAATGCCAGAAGTCCTGAAAGTTTGGAGGGACAAATTTATTACTTTTTGATCTCAAATTCCATTTTTTCCTGTAGAATATGTGAAATTAATATAAAACTTTTTTTCTTGCAAATGTACAACTTTTCAACATCAGATAATTTATTAGTTTTTTCTTAAAAATTAGTGAAATTAATCTAAACTTTTTAGTTTTAAGTTGAAATTTTAGTCTACAACGGCCCCAACAGCTTGTTTATAAAACTTTAGATGTTTTATAAGTTGCTTTATTTGAAACCTGAATGTTAATGATTTAAAGTCTCAGGAGGCAAAATGATTTTTTCTAAATGTTTATTTGTTAAAAAAAAAATCTGTTCACACAAACTAAAGTTAACAGTTGTTTTACCAGTCCTGCGCCAGCAGGGGGCAGTGCAGCCAGTGGCTCCGGGTTGTAGCACGGCTAAAGCAGAACTAAGCTAAATATTCTGCTACTGTTATCCGTTATCTGAGTAATTTCATTTAAACGGTAAAACAGAAAACACTGACATTTGTGCATAAAGGCTTAGATATTCAGCAAAGTTGTTAAAAAGCTGTTTCTACAGTTAAGCAGCTTCTTTATGGCCGTTTGCTAATTTAGCATAAATGTTTTTGTTGCTAAATTAATTTTATTTATTTTTTTACTGATCATTTATATCAAGATATGTGGGAATGTTCCTCATTATCTGCTGCCTTTTCCAGCTTCAAAGAAGGAGAGGAAAAAAGTCTATTAGGGGAAAAACAATTAAATTTGTTTTTTTGTGATTATAAATTTGTTGTTGGAAAGTGAATAGTCTCTTTTGACAACATGATATAAAATAGTTTTTTTTCCCTGCACGGTTTATTTTAACTGACCGTCTATTTGAGGGGGACTTTGATCTCAGTGATCACTTCAAACTCAGACCAATTTGAACAGAAACTCTTCCTAACTTCCTCCTGATCCGCAGAAACTCTTGGATTTGTTTCAAAGCGCCAACATTCATAAAAAAGCTGTGAAATGCCAAACTCTCTGAGCTTGTTAACGCTTCTGGTTGAGGCTCCACGTTTTTCAGAAAAGCACCAAAATCAAACCGACACGTTTATTTAAAGTCGTTTTTCCAGCACCGTTGTTCTTGTGTTTCTAATAACTTTGGTGCTTCAGACATTAAAACTATTTAAGAAAATCACAGAAGTTTAAACTCATTTTGTCCACATCAGTTCTGGTTTCACTGCTGATCTGCATGGCTGCTTTACAGAAACACAAAATTAGATTCACAAAAATGATTTCTGTTTCCTTCCAAAGTTACTGTTCCTTTAAATACATTGATAATTCTCTGATTGCAGATTGATAATTTTACAATATCTTAGTTAAACGGAGACCTTTGTGGATGTATTTCAAAGTAACAACTGAAGAAAACTTTTTCCTTTTGTAACATCAAAATTAACCGTATAGAAACGTCGTTGAGCTCCAAAGTCTGGTTCATCCTTGGATAAAATCCTGATATGAAATAAAGCAGTTTCAGGTCCACATGTTTATTTCATGAACTACAAACTGACATTATGCTTGTTTTTCTAGGAGTTGCATAACAGATGAATTTCCTTCCAGGGCGTCTCTAACGTTTCTAGAGTTGAGAGCTGGAGGTCACCACCACCCAGCCACTTCCTGTGAATCTGAATAGTGCGTCCTTGTCTCAGAGCCGCCTGTATAATGGCGTCTGTCACCGTTATTCCCCAGAAAACGTGTGCAGGTCGAGGCCTGTGAGCTAAAACACTGACTGCCAAATCAGCCCATGATGCAAAGCTGCAACATTTACCGTCTGACAGGAAGTCCGTTTTTAAAATGGCCGACATCAAGCATTAATGTTAGTTTATTCTGAGGACGTCCCATTAAATATACAGAAAACTTTTACTCATTCAGATCCAATCTGGGTCTTTATCTCTGGAAAATAAATGTATTTAACTGCAGGTGAAGCAGAACAATAAAACCGTCTGATCTGAGGAACAAGATGTTTTCCTCCGTTTTATTTGTCTTACTTTGGAGTTTCACTCTGATGACCATTCAAACAGATTTCTAGTTATCTGTGTTCCTGAGAAACGACCACGATGTTCACGGCGCTTCCTGTCGGTCTGAGCTGATCTTTCCAAACGTGACGCATCGTTTCCTAAACTTGTAAAGAAAACGAGTCTCAGTCAGCCGGGTTCTGCAGGTGGAACGTCCTGGGAAATGGTCCTGGAGTGTTCCTGGAACTAGCTGGAGGGATTTAAAGTCTCTGCCTCTTTTTCTCCTGGAAAAGCTTCAGTATCTCCCAGGATGATCTGGAGAGTCTAACAGGCTGCAGGGACGTGGGGTTTCACAAGTGGACAGAAATGGATAGGAGATGCATGATGCATGCATAAATCCATTATCATCATCATTCTTGGACATTTTCTACCAGGAAAATGAAACCTTCTGACAATCCAGTCTGGAGCGACTCCAGTCCCTGTTATTATCCACAGAGCTGCTGCAGAAATCGTTACTCCAGACAAAGCCTCCTCGTCTCTCTTTCCTGGAAGAATATTGCTGTCTTTTTGTTTCAGAGCGCCACATTAAGGCCGCATTGAGCCGAAAACTATAACCTGTAGCTCAAAGCTGCGGCGCTGCAATAAAAGCAGAAAACAGCAGAGAAAACCTGGCAGCAGGAGGTGAGGAGGGATTATATCGGCTTCCAGCGAAGGAACGAAACTCAGAGACAAGCAGATCCCTGGGAGACTTGAACACATGGAGGAGTTCCTCCTTAAAACGCTTAAATAACTTACAAATATCTCCGATTAGTCATTAAATCATATATTGTGTCAATAACAACAGTAGAAACCATTTAGCTTGTGCTCAAGTCAAAAAATTTCCTTTATTTGACCAGAACATTTCACTTTAATCAGCATCTTTAGAAAAGATGCAGCAAATATCACAATTAAATTTCATCCTTTATCTGAAGACAGGGTGTCCAAACTGCGGCACGGGGGCCATTTGTGGCCCTTTTTACTCACTTTCTGTGGCCCCCTTAAAATAATTTTTATATTTAGGATCTACAATTAATAACCTTCCTTTTCTAAAAACTTTACTTTATTTGCTTGATTTTAGCTTTCTTCTTTTTTGGCCCTTTTCTGAACTGACGATTTTGGCCGACGTGACAAAAAGTTTGGACGAGCACAAAAAACAAAACATTTAAACAAGAAATAAATATAAAAACAGGAAGAGTCGGCGGTAATCAGTGGAAGACGGCATGAATGGTTTGCTTTCAACCGATGCTTTTTAAAATGTTTCTCAGTTTTTCTGGTCTAAACGTTTCCAGTGTTGATGTTTCAACAGGTGACTGGCTGGAGTATCGCTGCTGTCATCTTCCTCTGAGGACGTCCAGGAGCAGAAACGTTCCCAGTCCAGGAGCAGAAACGTTCCCAGTCCAGGAGCAGAAACGTTCCCAGTCTCCCGCCCAGCATGGACAACACCAAGGTCCAGTCGGAGGGCGGGCTGAACGTCACCCTGACCATCCGCCTCCTCATGCACGGAAAAGTAAGAGAAACCTGGATGTGGCGACTGCAGCGCTTCAGATCTCAGACTTTATTTCAAATCGAGACAAATTAAGCTTTTTGAGTGAACATCTGGATTTCAGCAGATGTTCCGCCACTCATACCTACAGATTTAAGTTCTGTAGCAACAGGTTGGTGCCACAACACTGCTAATCATGGAGATACTTTTATTAGCACTTTTTCTAATTTTGAAAACGTAGCGCACTTATCGTCCCTTAAATTAAATCTAAAGCCATAATTAAGTTTTAACTGCATAAAGTTCAACATCTTTGTTGAAGTTTTGGTTACCAACTGATAAGATTCCTGAAAGTAGTTAAATGTTAGTTTTCATGCTCTTATTTTGAAGTGAGTGAATTACAGAGCGGTTCCATTTCCTGTCAAGTTCTCTTTTTTCAATAACTTTATTTAAAACAAGAGACAGAAACAGTAAAATATGGACAGTAGAGAACAAAATACTTAACTGTAATATGTGTTTTATGCATATTATGTACATGTAAATTATATCAATCTGAAACTGTTGCTCGAGGGTCGTAGTCTTTCAGGGCAGGCAGCATTTTAGCGTTAGCTTCTGCTAAATTCCATGTTAGCATAGCGCTTTAGCATTAGCTTCCACTGTGAGTGTGCTGGTGCATTGCTTTAGTGTTAGGATGAACAACATATAGGGTTAGTGCCTTAGGGTTAGCACAGCTAACGGTTTAGCTAGCAGACCCCACCACTGGTAAATACTGAACAAACTCTATAAAGGTCTTTGTTTTTCTGCAGGAAGTGGGGAGTATAATCGGCAAGGTGCGTACTCTTGTTTATGTATAAAAAAATAAACATTTCTTAAACATTAATTGATACTCTAATGTTTTGTATTTGGTTTATTTTGAACAGAAAGGAGAAACTGTGAAGAAAATGCGTGAAGAGGTGAGATCCTGCAGTAAGAGCATTTATTAAATCAAACATTAGAAATTAAAGATCCAAGAAAACTAAGGCAAACCAAACTTGTTAGCTTCTGGCAGAACGAGAACAACTGATGTAGAGGCAGCAGATATTTACATAAAACTAAACAGGGATCTATGCTTCACCTTTTCTGCTCTGATGTTTTATAATTACTGACAGAATATGACTGACTACCTGAGAAGCTTTGAATATGGTGGCCATAAATGGCCAATATTCAAGCTAAACATAAAAAATGTGCTATGTGCGGTTTCTTTCAGAGCGGAGCAAGAATCAACATTTCAGAGGGAAACTGTCCAGAGAGGATCGTCACCATTACTGGACCTACAGACACCATTTTCAAGGCTTTCGCCATGATTGCCTATAAATTTGAGGAGGTGCGAATTTCCTACACTGTTGGTGCAAAACACTTTCAAATCCATCAGTCAGGAGTTTGTTAGGATATCAGTATATTTCTGTTGAGGATAACTGGATTCTTCTTGTGTTTCTTGAAGACCTTCCAGTCAAAATGGTGGAATGTAGTGGCCTAACCAAAGTACGACCTGTTGTAGAAAACTCTGCCAAACTCTCCATCCTTTTCCAGTTTGTGTAGACAGATGGGGTCCGTCTCCTCGTCGGCGCTTGTTGGATCCATTTGCTGTAATTCAGAGTTTTCCTTTGGATACTAAAATGTGTTGGAGGCCATTTCCATCTCCTCTTGATTGGTGGCAAAACGGCGACGGTTTAGCAGTGGAGTGGTGTTATTGTCCTTTCCTGGGTTTGGACGTTAAAAGGAGAAGGTTGCTCTGCTTCTGCTTCTGCAATGTTCTTGTGACTTATCACTGACTCTATAACGTACCAGTGATTCCTGTGAGAACGTCCAAACTGATTCCTCACTTCCTGGTCCAGACTGGAAGTCTCTTTGTCTTCCCTGGTAGATCTTGACACCTTTGTCTTTTTCAGTAAAACTGGAAACTTGTTCAGTGTTGGAGGACGGAAGAAGTGTGGAAAGCTACCGGAGCATTTGGACAACACCGTCTTAACGTTGGTGGACTGACCCGGTCAGGTTCTCTATAGTAACTTGATCTGAGCCTTGAAAAGGATCCAGTTTGGTTGATGGTCTTTAATTGTAGATCAGAACTGGATTCTTAACATCTTCTCACCGTCCCGCAACATTCCTGGTCCTTCTTCCCAAAGATGAACGTTAGGAAACATCCTAGGAAGGACGTTAGGAAACGTCCTAGGAAGGACGTTAGGAAACATCCTAAGAAGGACTTTAGGAAACATCCTAGGAAGGACGTTAGGAAACATCCTAAGAAGGACGTTAGGAAACGTCCTCAGGTCCTTCTTCGGTCCTTTGTTTCTCAGGTGAGGTGCAGATTCTCAATCATCCCAGACTCGACAAACTCTAAGTGCTGCAGCAGAAGGAAACTTAGCATCCTCTCCTGCCTCGTGATTGATTGGGTTTACCACAGTTAGCTTTTGATGAGGCCGTTCCAAGCATCCAGTCTCACAAAGATAACAGAAATCATTGTCATTTCCTGGCTCACTGAGAATCTAGACCAGTCCATTTCAAATGATTTTGATTTTTCAAATTTTGAGTTCAACGTTTTCAGACATTTGGTTTTGCTTGTTTTTAATTCAAACATGTAAACTCAATCCCTGGCACTTGTGATTATTTCAGAAAGTGTTTATTACAGCCCAGATACCAGCGAAAAAGTTTAATTAGTTACCGTCCTGCTTTCTTTTCCACTGATATTATCTAACACTGAGCAATGAGACTGCAAACACAAAGTTGTGGGTCGTTAATCATTTGTGTGACGTTTTCAAACGTGTGGCTCCAAATGCCACAGTTTAGCAAGAGCCGAAAATTTAAAAAGTCCTTCTCTCATATTCTGTACGTTTTTCTGTCGATTTGCTTGTATAGATGGTTTCTGCTAATGCAATTAAACATCATGAACGTTTGGGGCCACGTTGTTCCTGCAGTGAATTATGATCCGTTTGTTTCAGGACATAATCAATTCGATGAGTAACAGTCCAGCCACCAGCAAGCCGCCCGTCACCCTGAGGCTCGTGGTGCCGGCCAGTCAGTGCGGCTCGCTCATCGGGAAGGGAGGCTCCAAAATCAAAGAGATGAGAGAGGTGAGCGACCTGCAGTCACCTGATGAATCACTGAGCAACAGGCATGTCGCCCAACAGACTTTTGCAATTAATTGTTAAAGTTTGAAAGCATGTCCAGTTCATTTCAACTCCAGGCAAGGCCAACTGTGATGGGCTACAAAGCTAGCTGCGCTAACCGCTCTGCTAATGCTAAGGCGCTATGTCAGCATGGTAATTAGTGGAAGCTAATGCTAAACGGCGTGAGGGAGGAAAACTTTAATGCAGCCATTTACAGAACAGCCAATTAAATTACTGCTTTTTAAACTGATCCTGGACCAGGAGTACTTTCTATTTGGTCTGCAAAGTAACCAACCACACCTCGCAGACAGCAAATATCCTGCAGCTCCTGCATTTTAGTTTGCAGTGATATTAATAATAATCTGTAGTCAGTACAGAAAAACTCTGGTTACTGTAAAATCAGCTACAGTTATTCCAGGCTCCTCGTCAATAAGATGCTGCAAAACCCAATAAAAAGGATTAATGTGATTCTGTGACCCATCCATGTCGCAGCCTTGTGCACTTATTTCTTAAAAATGTGTTTTTATGTCTCGTAGAAATTACAAAAAGACTCAGGAATTAGCTGAAACTGAAAAGCTCAGCATGTTGGTTTGCTGAAGGCTTTCAACGTAATTACTAAAGGATTCAGGAGAAATGTTTTAAAATCACATTTTCAGAGAAAAGGTTCCAAACATGTAAAGAAGGGAAACTTGTCCAAAACAGTTCAAGGTAAAAACCCTCTGAACAACTGCAGCTCGTTTTTCCTTCACACTATTCAGTCTTTCTGCCAAAGCTGATCCATTGTCTGCAATGCTGAAAACTAAGCTGGACTTCTAATTATCATCATTTGTGATTTCTGATAATCAGAGGCAGCGAGAACAAACCTGAAACCGTTTTAAATTAGGAATCTCTACTTTGGAGGGAGGCTGTTGGTCCATGGCCTCTTAAAAAAGGCCATAAGTGGCACAAAGTCTTTAAAGTATAGAAAAACCAATGTAAAAGTGGGCGGAGCCACGAGTCAAAATGGGCGTGGCTCATACTGGAGGGGCGTGGCTAAGACTGGATGGGCGTGGTTATTACTGGGGGGCTCAGGATGAGGGAAAACGCTGCTGTTAATTTAACGACTTTATTACCATATTTATCAGCTTTTTAGACCTTTTGTTGCATTTCTACAGCTCATCTGTGAAACAAAAGGGTTTAGTTACGCTACATAACTTCGTCTTTACTTTGGATTTGGTTCTAAGGAGATGAGAAAGTCGATTGTGGTGTGAAGGTGAGGCCCAGAGCGAGCAGAAATGTGTTACTGAAGAACCAGACAACCTTCAGAGGACGACGTGTCGGCCATGTTGTCGTCACGGCGGAGGTCCAGCTGGTCATCCTGGGACGTGTGAACAGTTTCTGAGAAAACATGAGCTGGAGGCAAAGTCATGTTTGGCATTTATCGAGGGAACCGTCATGCCTAAGTAACAATGATGGAGCCTCTGGTTCAGAAATGATGCAAGAGTGATGGAGAAAAAACTGTGAAGCGTCGCCCTGAGACGGCTCAGCGACAGCCAGAGGACAAGCAGACAATAACATTTACTGTCAACAATATTAACTCAAACTCAGAGTCTACAAGCTGCTGCTGCTGCCCTCAGGTTAATGTCAGCAGATGGGACCTGAGAAATGCCGTACGGGGGGAGATTGGTGCCAAGCAGCATGTCCTGAAGGCAGGACGTTGTTATCCCAGATGGACACGTCTCAGCTGGGCAGATATTAAAGACGAGGCCAGTTCAATTAACTGAGAAGCTGTAAAACAAATATCCACCTGGAGGCGCTGCGTGACGTAACAATTTGAGTCGGTTACAGAGTCGCCCTGTCGTCTTGTCCAGTCCACAGGGGCCCAGGTCCAGGTGGCGGGGGACATGCTGCCCAACTCCACCGAACGCGCCGTGACAATCTCTGGAACCCCAGAAGCCATCATCCAGTGTGTCAAGCAGATCTGTGTGGTCATGCTGGAGGTAAAGTCACAGAACGTTTCCGCCGCACCTTACAGTCACATTAAAAAGACACAACACAACACAACACAACACAACACAACACAGCTTCTAAATCTGCTGGTTAAAACATCAGATACATGACCTGGTTTCATCCTCACTGCTCCCACTGGTTTGAATAGAAAATTCAAATCAAATGCTGCATCTGCACTGATTAAATGATAATTAGCGTGAGAATCGCTATATGCTAACTGTATTAGCACAATTACAAGATGTTATGGGGTGTCACTTCTCAAGTTAAACACTTTAAAAACTTTAGCTTCAAGCTAAATATTTAGCTTTGTTAAATATTAGCTAAGCTATTTAGCTCGCTAACAATATATTGAACTTTCTATGTGTTTAGTTACTAAGCTAAATAATTTACTTTTTAAGGCTAGAAAGCTAAACATTTATCTTACTATCTAAACCTTTATCTTCAAATCACTATAGTTTGAAGCTAAATATTTCGACAGCAAGCTAAATAGCTTAGCTAATATTTAAATATTTAGCTAGCCAGCTACATATTCAGTTTGAGGCTAGGTTGTAAAGTTTGTGTAACTTGACAAAATAGAGCAAAACATTTCATTTGCCAACTAAATATTTATATTTAATTTGAAACTGACATTAAATGAACATGAAAATATCAACTTTGAAAAATGAACCACATTCTTTCCTGTTGTGATAAACTAAATAACCCGTTTCAGTTTCTGACTGTAGCTTTAATAAACACCATAAGGGGTTCAGACGACTGATTATTTAAAAATTACACGACTGCAACAAACTCACAGCAGGACAGAGCACAGATACGCTTCATTCATTCATTCATAAGCAAATGATGCAAAGACAGAGTCCTTCCTACGACCGATGAACACGTTTCCTCTACATTCATTAAACTAAAATTAAGCTAATAAAGCAGAATTTCTGTTTCTGTTTCTTTCAGTCCCCACCAAAAGGTGCCACCATCCCCTACCGCCCAAAGCCTGCCTCCACCCCCGTCATCTTTTCAGGTGGCCAGGTGAGTGCTGAGCTAGCATTAGCTGAGCTAGCATTAGCTGAGCTAGCATTAGCTCATTAGTTTGTCCCTGCAGCAGAACCTGAGTGTTTACTGCAGCATCAGCTGCTGTCAGCAGCCCAGAGTTTTCCTGCTTCCTGCTGCAGATCGTTGGCTCTGCGTAAGGAAAGACGCTTCGCAGCAAAACGGCCCAGAAGAGGCCGTTTGTTTTCTTCATGCTGCTGGAAAACAGAAAACATGACTGTGTGACAAAAGGCTTTTACTTCACAGCCCAAAAAAAAGTTCTGTAAAGGTTTAGATTCAGATTTATGGGAAGAAGTGAGAAATAGATTAAAAAAACAAAATATCCAGCTGAGAAACAGAACATAAAATTACATATAATGATTAAATTTTAAAATATGTACACACTTCTGCCTGGTCATGATTCTTGTTTTTTTAGATCTCTTAACCCCAAAATGTACCTTTTTATTTTTCTTCATTATTTCTGGGAAAAAAGCATTAAAAATAAAAATACGAGCCAGAATGATAAAAACGTTTCTAATTAGCTTTGCTCATTATTTGTAAGATTCTTTAGATATAGTTATGTTGGAGAAATTAGAATAATGTTGAAAAGTTTATATTAGTAACTCGATTCACAACATAAAACTCAAATATACAGATTAATTACACTCATGATTTCAGCTTTTATTTCTGCTAATTATGAAGATTTTCTGCTTAGTTATGAAAACATGACAGTTGAGCTTAAAATATTACATCCAACCAATAAAAAAACAGAAAAGTGGCTGTACTGAAAAGTATATTTAATGTCTTTTTAAATGTTGCTATTTTGTTGATTAAATTATGATTTAGTTGTGTTAGATTTGTTGTTTCATGGAGCTTAATATGAATCTAATATTATTATTTTTACTCCTGTGATAAAATGTCACCACTCGTGGCATTAAGTGACATTTTATCTCAGTTTAATTTTAGTATTTTACGTTTTAACGAGTTTGTCTTTTGCTGTGTGATGTGCAGCCAGATATAAAATAAATTTTAAAACCTTAAAGTTGCATATTTTGGTTTTTAACGCTGCTCCTGGTGACCCGGCTGTCCTCCGCTCCGCTCCAGCCACTGAATCATCTTATCTCAGTGTTTGTCATCCGTGATTATCTATGCTGAGTGTGAGTCTTATCAGCCAGGAAAACAGGCAGCAGCTGCAAGGGTTGCTGGGAAATCGGCCACTTTAGTGTGACATCACTTTGTTTTGATTCTGCTCTGAAAGCCGAGGCTCCCGCCACGTCAGCCTGGCGTCTCTGCACTTCACAGGACGGTCAAGTTTCCTCTGAAGTCAGATCTGGTTTCACACGGTTAAAACATGGCAGGTCTTATCTCTGCTAATCCAAGTTTAACTCAGTAAGTCCAACTTAATTCACTTGTAATGATAAATTTGAAACGTATCCTTAGCTAAACACGCTTTAGATATGATAAACTCAAAAGCACACAAACAAAACAACAAGAAAATGTTGCAAATGAAAAGCTGCAGCTGTAGGAAATCGAACCACAGGGAAAACGGTGGATATCAAACAAAGCAGCGAGTGAAAATGGAAATCCTCCAGGCCACTAGGGGGAGTCTGGAGCAGAAGAACATGCTGCTGCTTTTAACAATGTGGTAAAAGACATGAAGCAGAGCAGAACTATTCTTTCTTCCTCCATTTACTGACAGCCTGGTCCATTATAATTTGCCTGCTGACGCCCCCTAGTGGCCTGGAGGATTTGAGTTCGGCGCATTCCCAGATGGTTACTATTTTGTTAAATCCAGAACCAGTTCATTGTCCGAAAGTGTTTATTGTTTAGATGTTGAATCACCTAAAGAGAGGCAACCCCACAGCATGATGCTGTTTTTAGATCTCATGTTTTCTCCAGAAATGCTTCCTGTATTTTGGCCAAACAACTAAAATCTCGTATCATGATCTGGTTTTCCTCCATGTGGCAGGTTTCAGTCCAGCTTGTTGACTTTGGGTTTCCCTCCTGACCAGCAGCCTGTCCGCCCCCAGTCACATCCAACTGGTTCTGGTACTGGTTGTTCCCGAACAGTTCAGCCTTTTCCTTTCCGTCTGAGGGGGGCGGTTTGGGTCAGATGGTTAAATCTTGGACACAGTTGGATCTCCCAGCAGGGGAACGATCCCAAATAAACACCCAACCTGGTTTCAGATTGAAAAGCAAGGCGATCTTAAGCTTCTGGACCGACTCCAGCCCCAAACATGTTGAACATTTGACTAAAAGCCAAGTTTCTGCCAGGAAACCAACCGATTTAAATGAATATTTCCAATCCTGCAAAGAAGAGGGAGCAGATATCCAGCCTAAATCATGAAACCAGTAAACCAATTCTGGTTACAAAACCGTAAAATTAAGATGTCTGTTCACTTGTGTAAAAACCAGAAAAGAAAAACGTCTCTTTCCTGTTGCTTTGCGGCCAGCTGAGGTGTCGACTCGTGACTGAAACGTGTTTTCTCTCCTCAGGCCTACACAATTCAGGGACAGTACGCCATCCCACACCCAGACGTAAGTCCTTTGTTTTCCTTTCCTCAGTTCATAATTACACCTGAAACTAGACATTTACACTCGCTGTGTGAGAACAGATGCCATCTTTCTATCTTCACTGCGACACTTCCCCATGTTTGGGTCAGACGGATTGTTTCTGTTTGATCACTGATAGAATAATGAGACATTTTTTAGTTTAGAAACTAAAGATGGAGATCCAAACCTTCTGATGGTCCATGAAACACGGACCGTGTTGTTTTTAAGCCTTTTGTAACAACTCTTTGCTAAGGGACGTTACCCACTTCATTGCTTCCACATAATGTTCTGTGTTGCCGTCTGTTTCATGAAGTGCACCAGTTCCTCCTGCAGCAAAACGGCACCACAACATGATGCTGCCTCCACACACTGAGGAAGCGACTCCTTTGCTTTCCTAATGTCTTTACAGCAACGCACTCAAACTTAGTTTCCATCAGACTCAATGATATGAAACAAACTTTGTTCCCACAGGAGATTTAACTCTTCGGCCTCTGAACTCGTTTCAGCTCATGCTGGACTTGTTTCATTGTGGATAATAACAGTTTAACGGCGTTTTCACAAGGTCTTTTGTTTTTCTGTTAATTAAACTTCTAGGAGCTTAGAAAGTCATCAATAGTTTTGAAAGCATTGTTATCCGACTGTAAACGTCAAAATCTGAAGTAAGTTTAATAAAAACTGGAAAGAATGGTGGCGTATCTTTCTGCACTGTGTAAGTAAATACCTGGTTTCTCCTGTTCAGACACGACAGTTCCTGTCAGAATCAGATCTTCTGATTTACTTCAGTTTAAGGAATTTGATTAGAAAGTCTTGACATGAACTGTTTTTAATGCATTGTGATCTAAGAGTAAACTTCAGAGTCTGAAGTAATTTAGAAACATGAGAAAAAAGAATCAGTAATCTGTCTTTCTGTAATGTCAGGGTTTCTGCAGGTTTCAATTCAAATTTAAGACTTTTTAGGAGAATTATGAGTGAAATTTAAGACCAAGTGGTGCCAAGGTTTTTACCACAGACTGTTGGGAGCATCGTACGGTTTGGCAACAGAACTGAGTCAGTGGCAAAGACGAACATCACCAAACCAACCGGCAATAAAGCTACCAATGATTGGTGCAAAACAGCTAGCTACACAGCTAGCAAGGGTTTATTTGCATCTAGTTAGCGGTAGCCTCATTTGCCTGGAGTGACAGAACCGCATGGACAGAAAAGTCCTGTGGGTCAAGAAAATCTACAAAAGACTAAATAGTCTTGCCACGACAAAGTCCAAGACTGTGATTAACATATTTAAGTCCAACTTACATGTTTTCTGACGAATTTAAGACATTTTAAGGCCTTAATTTTAGATGCATGAACTGAAGGCTTTTTAAGGCGTGCAGACAGTGTCAGTAAATCTCTGGTTGAAGCTGTTCGTAGTCATGGAGGCTCTTTCAGATCTCCTGAAGTTGCTTTGGCTCCAGGTGACCCTGCAGCTCAGCAGCTGGTAAGACCTGGTCGGTACCATGAACCGGTCCTGGTGCGTAAAGACGGCGGCGCCTCAGCAGCCCATCCCGTCTCCGTTAATAATCTGCCTTCATCTGTCCTTGTCGTTGGAGCATCTCAAGAGCCTCCTTGTGTCAGATCCACTAATTCAAAGCCGAATGGTGATTGATGCCAGAGGAGCTGGCGGCTGACGGTGCAATCACTCACCTGACCGCCTCTTCCCACCCTCGTTAAAAAGTCCTTTTAAAAGGAGAGGATGCTTTTAAAGCGGACGACAACCTGTGATCATGTTCAGAGCGCAGCAGCGCCTGGCGAGCGTGTTGGGCTACAGCTTGTGGAAATTCATGAGAGCAAATTAAATGACTAAAACATCTTTGAGAATTACAAGAAGGCAGGAAAACGACTCACATTATCTGGTAACTTGCATCTTCTATCAGAAAACCATCATCTCTCTGTGTCTCTTGCTTTTTGTCCTCCACCGCCCGTCTCATGTCTTCCTTCTCCTCACCCGTTCTTCACTCTGGTTTATGTTTTCTTCATTTCTTGGTGTGACCTGTGTAACAGTAACCTCTTAGTTTTACTTTCCCTCCTAACCCTTCAGCAGTTGACCAAGCTCCACCAGTTGGCTATGCAGCAAACCCCCTTTACCCCTCTCGGACAGACCACCCCTGCTTTCCCTGGTACGTACCCACAAGGTACCCCTGTAGACGTTTTCTCCTCTTTGCATCCAGAGAAATATTTCTTCTCTTCCCCCTTCCTCGCACCTTATCTCTCTTTTGGCACAGCATGACTTTGCCTCCGTCGTTTCTTTCCTCCTTTGATTTTCTTTAACTCATATATATTTTTTCTTGCCCCTGTCTGATATTACTCCAGTAAAGTGGAAAAAAGGAAAACACAAGCCGCTCTTATGATTTATTCAGTTACGTTATCGCAGGCAGCAGGTCACAGAGTCTACCAACAGATTTTCAACACTTAAAGATTCACTAAAAGTGAAAATCAACAGATGAATGCAGCATCTTCATCGAGAACTTCACAACTAAAGATCAAACTCTTTTATTCAAGTATTGCAAATTCAGGAGGAAAATGGACACACCTGGTGATTAGAGCCACTAATTCACTGACAGATAGTTTTTTTTGTTGTTTAGCACTTTTGCTAACTTTGAAAACGTTTAGCGCACTTAGCTTCTCCTACATCAGTTCTTACAGAAAAATTATAAAACGCTAATTTATGTGACTGTTTTGAAAATGTTCAGATGAATAAAGTTAAGTTTTGTTAGGAATCCTTCAAGTAATTAGACGTTTATATTGATGCTCTTATTTTGAAGTGAGTGAAGACTGTTTACGTAGTTTGTTTCCTCACTTTCTCGTCTTTTAAAGAAACTTTATTGAGCAAATGGCAACTATACAAAAATGAGGAGGTATACAGAATAATACAACAGTTACATGAACAAATACAATCATTTATATTGGGGAAGTGTCTTCAGAGCTTCCTGACACTTTAGCATTAGCTTCTGCTAAAACCATGTACCACGTTAGCGCTACTAATGTTTACGATTATGTTTTAAGGTTAGCAAAGCTAACTTTTTAGTTAGCATACCCACCACTGTTAGCATGTAATGTGATGTTGAGCCAAAATGGACCAGGAAATTTGGATTAGCATAGAAAAGTTTAAAAGAAGAATAACAGAAAAGGGGAAATATACCAACACTGACATAGAGGACGAACAAAGAATGAATGAATATGGCAACATCTTCCTGACAATAATCACCACAGAGAAATGAAGTGAATATGGAAAAACCTTCCGTACATAAATGATTAAACAGGAATTGATCAAAACCCAAAAAACTGAAGTCTCGCAGCACGTCTCCATGTTTGTTGCCAGAAAATCTCTTTCCGACCGTCGAAGTTCTCAATCCATTAGTTTTCCTTCTGAAGTACAAATATAAAAGTTGATGATGAATTTATGGGAAACATTTGTAAAATTTATTTTTTTCTACACTTATGCAGGCCTGGAAAAAAACTAATTCATTGTTTTCTAGACCAGGCAAAAATCCTACAAGTCACAGATATTTTCTTAAATCACTTAATTATTAAAAAGTAAATCAAATTATTGTGTAAATCAGGAGCATTGGAAGGCCTTAGGTCATACGATGTGTTCTCATGTTGTAATTATAGATTTAAAGGTGTAGTTCATTATTTTTCAAAGTGGTAGATGCACCAGCTTCACACTGGATGACGACTGCAGTGGCCGACAGCCACAGCATGAACGGGTCTCTGTTGTGGTTGGAAGAGCATTATTGGCGACCTGTGGCCGGAGGTGGTAGTGTTGGGTTTACAGCTGGGTTTGAGTGTTGGCAGCATATCTGCTCCATTTTCCTCCAGATGAAATGATTACACATGAACGACGTCACGTAAAAGGAAAACGTTTTGAGAAAAGTGTGGTCCTCATTCAACTTGATGAGAACTGAAAGGTTTTGAATGGAGGATGAGTTCTGCTGCTTCTGCTCATGAGTTTAGTGTTAGCTGGATGACTACCAGGTGTTAGCACTTAGTGCTAAGCTAGGCTAACAACAAAGTGATCTTAGTACGAGGATAAAATCCAACAATGTTTAACTTTGCTCCTTTATTACAGCTGAATAGTTTAAGCTATTTAACACATTGTGTTTTGAAGTGGGTTTGGGTTCTAATGTTTTACAGCGTTTGCTGTAACCCCCAGTGTGCTAAGCTAGGCTAACCGGTAGCTGGCTTTACGTTTAGTGACTCACATTAAATATAAATATTTTTATAACTCAATTCCTTCTCATTACTTCAAAATGCTAAGTTTGGTCACAGCAACGTTCACATCAACATTTTCTTGTATTGTTCTTTAGCTTATCTCACCAGGCTATTAGCCAACTTTATCTTCTAAGCTAAAATTAAATCAAATTATTAAACATTCTTTAAAATATTATAACTTCTGCTTTAATACATTTCTTTATATTTGGGTGTTTATTAAAATGTTCTGCATCTTTATGGGTCTGTTCAGATGGGTTAGCATTAGCTCAGAGCTAAAATCAGCGCCTCCGGTGTGAGCCCGCAGAAATGTAGCTAGAAGCAGAAGGAGATGCAGTGACCAAACATTTCCTTTTCCTCGGACATGTCCTCGTTCTGATTGGCTTTCTTTGATGAAAATCTCTGGATTTCCAGGTTTTTAGGGGATCAATAATGTACTTAAATGTCCTGGTCTGCCGTTCGACGTCTCTGTTGAGCCCAGGAGGGAACGGCGGCAGAAACTGACCAGGCGCCGCAGAGGAAGATTTACAGACGAACTGGAAAATAAATGTTTCTGTTTTTCACAAAGGCGTCGTATAAATCACATGATGGACAAAAACATCATGAAACCGAAAGAGGAGGACAGACAAAAACTCAAACTATGCAGATTTTCCTGCCTGATGCTTTTTATTTTTAAAAAACATCAGACAGGAAATCTGAATATGTTTTCAGATTTATGTAATTTTTGTCCTGGTTGACTTAAAAAATGAGGTTTTATTTCTACAGGTTAACTTTCTAAACTGCAGAAGAGAAATCATCAGGGATGGACAGATGAGAACATTTCCACCTGATATCAGATATAAATCTGCCGTTATTGCAGGATTTACCAATATTTACCTTTATTAGATACATTTCTCTGCACCTCTGACAACGTTAAACCAACCAACCACTGACGTTGACCCATAATCTAACGTCCCATCAAACACAACATGGCCACCAGAATTTAACCCAGTTTAACTCATCAGAACTGATACGTTGAAAAACGCCCATGTTGACTGTTGGTTGGCAAATCTCACTTCAAATTCTGCCTAAAAGTGGCAACTTTAAAAAACTGAACTCCTAAATGTTCCACATGAAAATGGGTTTGTATATTTAAAGGACTAATCTGGCTTATTATCCTGTATCTGTATTTACTGAAATCTGTTTACAGATCTAACTCATCTAGAAGTTACTTGGTAGAGTCACAGTCTTCTTGTTGCACCTGGTTTCAGGTTTGGATGCCAGCCCACCAGCCAGCACCCACGAACTCACCATTCCCAATGATGTGAGTACAGATTCAAACGTTTTTCATCAAGATCAAACATGAGAGGAAAATGTAAGACGTGTTTCCAGCCCCACAATGAAGATGAACAAGAGAAACGGTTTTAAGTGCAGATCATAAGTTATTCCACTTAAATGTCCAACTAGCACTAATGCACAGACATGCACCAAGATGAAGATCCATATAAATTATTAAAGAATAACTAAACTATATTTTGCTATGTTTATTAAAATGTAACTAATCCATAAATTAGCTACTTTTTTCATATAAGCTTTATAAAGTAATTCTTTAGGGTGCTATCTTCATGTTTCAAATGTGCAAATTATAACATTTTGTTGTAAATTATTTAAATTCTGCAATATTTTGCCTAAAACCTTCTCAGTGCTGCCCTCTGTGGGTTGAGCGGTGGTACTGCAGTCAAATTCTTCTATTGGTTCCAGCAGTCCAGGTTGGTTGATGTCACTCAGCCCCACCCACAGGTATAAAACCATCTCAGACACGCCCCCTGGTGGCGACACGCAGAAGCAATAGCTAGTATACTTGGAACTGATCCGTAGCGTTTTGAAGCTAGTGAGGAGTTGTGGACGTGTAGTGGAAAAGATCCTCTTTGCTCTCTGACTGCAGCGTTCAGACAAAATGTCACTAAATTTATTGTGAGTCACTTTTTCAAAAAGTCTCTAAAAGTTGCTAAATATGGAGCCAAAGTTACAAATCAACAGTTTTCCGAGCACAGGAGAGCCGTTCCACTCCGTGTCCACATTGCAAATGAATCACAAGCTACCGATTATTGATCGCCATGGCAACGATGGGTAATCCACCTCCTGACTCGCCACTAGGGGGCGTGTGTCTGAGTGAGGTGGTTTTATGAAGGAATGCAGGGCTGTGTCGTTGTACCAACCTGCAGTACCACCGTTCAACCCAAAGAGGGCAGCACTGAAACGGTTTTAGGCAAAATATTACAGAACTAATCAAATAAACACAAAAATCTCAAAATTCACACAGAAACACGAAGAACCTTATACATGTAGACAGTTTATTGGCAGAGAAAATGTTTAGAGATTACAGTTTAAATAAAATGTCTGCTGTTTGTTGGTACTTTTTACCACCAACCTGCAGCAAAAACAGTGCAGCATGACTGTTGGGTGAATTGGTCTCTTTAAACTGATATTACTTTTAAGTATACACAATGAAGAATCCCTTTAAAATAATAATATTGGTTTAATCTGATAAAAGCCGATGAGTGAAGCCTTTCTAACATATCACTGCCTCTTTAGACGAAACAATCCTTCAAACTGAAACTCCTTCATCCTGATGGCACAAAGCTGAAGTCTCCCATTAGATCATCTGCTGACCATGTCATTACTCAATCAAATTCCTACGATTTTAATAAAACCCAGATCATTACATAACCCATTACACTTCCCTTTTCATTAAACGTATCAGTTATTGAGTCTAAACGCTGTGAGACAGCCCAGAGGTTTTCCTTCTGACTCTTTCGTTTTCCTTCACAGCTAATAGGCTGCATTATTGGACGCCAGGGAACCAAAATAAATGAGATTCGACAGATGTCTGGGGCGCAGATCAAAATCGCCAACGCCATGGAGGGCTCATCAGAGCGGCAGATAACCATCACAGGGACCCCTGCTAACATCAGCCTGGCTCAGTACCTCATCAACGCCAGGTAACGTTTCAACCTGAGCAGCTGGGCCTCGACCGGCCCAAAAGATAAAACCAGCACCAGTGGAGCTCCGGAAAATCAGCTCCATGTTATTCTGCTTCTTTGAAGAATCTCTCAGTGATTAGCTGCGTTTCCAGTACAAATTTGATCAAAATTCTGTTAATGTCGAAAAACCAGAATTTTCCAAAACAAAGTGCAATTAAAATCACATGAAAACAAGTTTTATTGTGCAATAAGTAATTATCTGGCCAATGGAAACGCAGCTAATGGCAACTAATGTGAGCTTTTTTTCCCCAGAAGTCGTTCCTTTAATAAAGTTTCTCCCAAAGTGTGAAAATGTAAATTAGAGAAGTTTCTGTCGGACGATTCCTTAAAAGTGAGTCATGGAGGGACGACAAGCTGGAAGCAATCAAACGATACATCTACAAATTAACATTCAACTCCTGAGTTGAGAACAGAAAAAATCTGAGCACCAATAAAGTAGCAGAGGTGATTTTAAAGCAGAATTCACAACGTAAGCGGCGTTAGCTCAGCAGAGCAAAGCTTTGTGTTTCTGATTCTTCAGGAAGATTTCTCCCTCCAGGAGCTAACGGCTAACTGCTTTCTCACGACTCCAACGGCAGGTTCAGAGACGTGGCCGCCATGTGGAACGACCCATCGTCCATGACTACATCCTGAAGGCCGCCAAATTCTGGCTATAGCATTAGCACCTTGATTCTGCGTTCACTGTTAGCTTGGAGCCAATAAGTTCTTTGTTAGAGCCTGTTTTCTGCGTATTGGTGTAAAAAATACTTTGACATTTTGAAAAACATGCTTATCCTGCTGTTTAATGTAGATAAACATACAATTAGTCATATGTTAGCTTAGCCTCAGTTAGCATTCCCAGTTAGCTTAGCATCATAAACATCCTAACCAGAAACATTTTGAAATAAATTGGTTGCAGTGACAACAAAACATTTTTAAGTGCTGAAATCTTGAAATGTGAAGATAAATGTTATTAAAAATGTCAGTAACACTTTATTTGAAGGGGGTTGAATAAGACTGTCATGTCACCGTCATAAACATGACATAACATGTCATGAACATGAATAAGCCTTCATGAATATTTATGACTGTTGTCATAAAGCGTCATTCGGTAAATTATGACACTTTTAATACAAAGTTGACATTATTCAAAATGTCTTTGTTATGACAACTTGACATTAACCAAGAAATTATTACTGTTATAAATTTGTTATAAAAGTTTTACTGATTGCACTTTAAAAATTAGGAATCTTTATGTTATTAAAGGTAAAGTTTAAACAGTAATGATTTATTGGTTAATGTCAAGTTGTCATAACAAAGACATTTTGAATAATGTCAACTTTGTATTAAAAGTGTCATAATTTACCGAATGACGCTTTGTGACAACAGTGATAAATATTCATGAAGGCTTATTCATGTTCATGACAGGTGTTATGTCATGTTTATGAAAGTGTCATGTCAGTCTTATTCACCCCCCTTCAAATAAAGTGTTACCAAAATGTCAAACTATATTTTATTTATTTAGCATGTAGCATTTCAAAGAAGTCATTTCTGTTGCTCAGTATTATCATAGATAAAATTACAGATTACGTCATTGTATGCAGAGTAAAAAACAGTAAGACGTAAATAAAAACCTGGTTTAATGCGGTTAGAGCGATGTGATGCTGCATGGCCTCATCAACACGACGTCCAGCTGATTTCATTGCAGAATAACTTTCACTCTTCAGCGAAAGTTTCACAGTTTTATTTCCGTTTGTGTCCCCGCCCTCCCCGCACCACGCCCGCCTCCCATCCCTTCTTCTTCACCGTTTTCAGGCTGACGTCTGAAGTCACTGGAATGGGCTCGCTCTAGTTTCCATCCTCCGCCGTGCATCACATGACCTCTGAGCAAACGGCATTAAACGCGGTTTATTGACCTCCGTTTGACCGTTCTGCTGTTTTAAGTCGATATTGTGAAGGTGTCACTCTCACCTGAAGCTGTCATTTGTTTTCCTCTGGACTCTTTTGCCTCCTTTTGTTTTTGTCGCTCCACGTTTCACAAGCTCTGACGAGCTCTTACTCATTTTCTGATGATTTTCTGATGCAACGCGTGTGCTTGCAGAAGTTATTGCCTGTTTGTCTCAGCAACGGTTTGCATGACTCAGCTTTTGAGATTTATTTTAAAGTCGTGGAAGTGGAAGCTGGAACTGAATACATTTGTTAGATTTTCAAGCCGATCTTGTTTCCATGTGACAAAAAGCTGGGAAATGAAGGTTTGTCATGTAAATGATGGCAGCAGAGAGTAAGATTCGTATCCACCTGCAGCCATTTGTGCTCCTGATGCTGTAATTTTACCTGTGTTCACCTGGACCTTTGGGAGACGTCGGCTGCGTTTGCAGTGAAATCTCTGGGGTCTTTTGGCTTCATTGAGCTCTGAGAAATGATTTCTTACACAGATTATGTTTCTGTTCTGCATGTTTTTCACTTTGCACCATTTTCTGTTGTGAACATTGAAGCATAAATCAGTTCCCAAAATATAAAGTCTCAGTTTCATTTGTATTTTGCTGTTTTGAATGACAAAATAATATTTTCCAATCAAAGCTGAATGTATAGGAGGTTTATTTTAAATGCTACGTTTTAACTGTGTTCTAGGATAATGTGGCTTAAAAACATATTGGAGAAACTGATGAGCTTTATTATTGATCTATAAAGTAAAATATTGACATCCATCCATGGATCTCCAGCAGTTATTGGTATAAACCTTCACAGAACCACATTCTCACTAAATCCAGCCTGCAAGCGCCGCCATCTTGGAACGTTTTGATGCATCCTGAACCAAACGAAAGCTTTGCAGAACAGCTAAAATACAACGGAGCTCATTTAGTCTGGAAGTTCAGATGTTGCAGGACGGCTAGAGCTGCTAACACCTGATTTAGATTCAGTGGTGGGCACCGCTAGCTAAAACGCTAGCTATCCAAAAGAGCTAATCATAAACCTTAGTTACGCTAACGCTAAAGCACTACAACAACACAGTATTTGCTGGAAGCTAATGCTAACGCGCTAACAGACAGGCATTTCTCCTGTATGTTTTTGTTTAAAATAAATTTAGTAAGGGGGGAAAAGGAGAAAATGTGACAAACCTGCTGTGCAAACTTCAAAATAAAAGCATGAATATGAAAATTTGTTAACACAATAAAAACTTCAACACAAAAGTTTAACTTTATCCAGGTGAAAGTTTACAAAATAGTCATAATTTATCCAGAAAAACGAATGCAGGGGAAGCTGAGTGTGCCAAATGTTTTCAACGTTAGCTAAAGCGCTAAATGAAGAGTTAGCTCTCCTGCTAGCATAAATGTGCCCACCACTGCTGGCTGACGAGTCTCCATCTTTTTGCCAGACCTGCAGTCACTTTTATCCCTGATCATTCAAAATGTTTGTCATATTCCTCTTTGGTTTCACTCTGATCAGAATCGCCTCTGTAGTTTCACTCGGTTTCTGTGCAAAAGGAGCAAAACAGAATGACATGAAGTGATTTTTGAAGGTAATAATATGTATGATTATGTTTTTGATCATTCAGATCTCAGATTTCTTATGTATTCAGTTTGTCGTAGTGTTTTGTAAAGGAGAGACAATGAGAATGAAAACCGTTTATTCTTTTCCTCCTTTGACTCAAACTGTGTTCATTATAACTTTAAAAATAATAAAACTAACTAATAAAAAAACTAACTAATAAAAAAAATAAATCCTTCAGATAATCAAACCTCTGATTGTTCCTCTCTTTTCACCGGTTTGTCGTAGAATCCACCGTCATTTCATATGAAACAAAGACGAAGCCAGCCAGGCTCTCTGCTCATCAAACGTATTGATCAACAGATTAAAATCAGTCAGCAGCTCAGGAAAAGCAGAAGTTTCATCAGTTCGCTGCTCTGGAGTGTGTGTAGGTGTGTGTTAGCAAAACGCAGAAGCGCACCGGCAATGACCTTAGGGAAAGGTCAAGGTCATTTCCAAACCGTTTGATTATTCCAGAGGACACGTTTCAGACAGCTGCCAATCTTCCCAGGAGTCCCAGCAGAGAACGCTCAGAGAAATTACCAAGTTAGCAGGTCAAAGGTCATGACCGGTCAGTCAGTGAACTGGGCTGAAGAAGAAAGCCAGAAATCTTTAATCATAAACATTAGTTCTGGTAATGCACCATATGAACCAGGCGTTTAAGAGAAGCTAACATGTTTGCATTAGTGAAGCTAATACTGAAGCGCTACATGAACATGGTAGGAGAAGCTAGTGCTAAAAAGCTATACAAGATAGCATTGCATTTAGCGGAAGCTAATGCTAACGCGCTACAGAAACATGGCATTTAGCAGATTCAGCAGAACAACATGTGCTACAACAGTATTTCACCCTCAATAGGGTCAAACTTAATATTCACCTAACTTTGTGCTTTGGATCAAAGAATCACTTTGACAAGTAAATAAATTAAAGCCAAGTAAACAAGAGCTTCAGGATTTACAATATAATTTAGGGGAAATTCACTAAATGTTTTCAAAGCTAGCAAAAATGCAAAAACATAAAAAACATTAGCAGAAAAGAGCCTGCGAGCACCGACAGAGGGAGAGATTTCCTCTTACCACGACTGTAGATGTACTCAAATACTTTTAATAAAAATCCCCGTTTTGCTTTGTTCCGTCACATTTAGAGCAGAAGAAGAAGAAATAGCCAACTAACCTCTGTGTTTAGAGGATGAACAATGAATCCATCTGATATTAATGCAGAGATTAATTTAAATCTCAGATTAATTTAAATCTCTGCATTTCAAACTCCAAACTTTGAAACCTTTGTGTTTTAGGGAAATTATCTGCCTAAATGTTTGTCTGCAGTCGACTCTCAGCAGACATTTGCTTTATTTTAACTTTTCAGGTCTTTTAGGTTTTAAACTAACATTTGTCCAGATTTTATTTCCCAGAACGTCAGAGTTTATTCGACAGGAAAACAAACCTAAAACCAAAACAACAGGAAGCTTTTCAGCCTGACGCAACAAGCAGCAACGTCCCAACAAACAAACGCCACAGAAACTAATGTTCTGTTCCTGAGTCGCTTAAACTCAGAAGAGCTGAAACGACAATTTTGTGCCAAGGAAAGGAAAATACTTCCTGTAGACTTCTGTGCAAAAGTCTTAAATCACCTTTACTCTTGTCATTTTTCTCTCCATTCAGTTCTTCTTTGTGACCTTTATAACATATTGTGCAAAGTTTTACTGAAAATAAGAGAAGCAAATTGTTGCAATCAGTACAAACATCTTTGTCTGGTATTAAAATTTCTTCAGTGATTGAAAAATGTGAGAAAACAGAGAAAACTTTTCATCCCAGTGAAAACCATCAACAGGTTGTTTAGTTTAATAGATGGGAACATTTCTGATAACAGGCAAAAGGCTAATTAGCCCTGTAGCATTTTGTAAACATTTAGCACATTTAGCTTCCCATAAACTAATTAGTCTAAATAAATTCTAAAGCACTAATTCAGTTACATTCGGTTGAACAATGTTTGTGTTGAAGTTTTGTCTGTCGACCGTTTCATCCCTGATGTTCTTTAGCATTAGCTGCAGCTAAATAAAACGTTCATGTAGCATTTTGGCTAATTTTGAAAATGATTAGAGAGCACAGCTTCCTATAAATGACTTTTTCTGGACAAATCAAAAGCCTAATTTACTTGGTTGTTGCCCGTTAGTAATTCTTCAAGCATTTTATCTTCATGCTCTTATTTTGAAGTGGGTGAAGACTTTACACAGCCGTTTCATTTCCTCATGTTTTCTCACCCCCATAACTATTTTAAACTAAAACATAGAGGAACAAAATAAAACAGACAGCAGAGAACAAAATATAAAGTTAAATACAATATCCAGAGACGTTTAAGTTATAGGATCAAAATAAAATTGGTGCTCGAGGATTTTATCGTTTTTTTCCAACAACTTTTATTATTTTCTGCAAGGGAAACAAATCGGCAAACAAGACAAAAAAAAGTATCA